GCCCGGACCATTGTGTCAGGCCTGGCACAACCCGATTTACACCTCTAGGTTGAAGAGGTTTGTTATGTTTTTTTTTTTTTTGAATTATTGTTGCTAGCAAGACAAAGGTACTAACAATTAAAAGATTTGGACCCTTTTTTAGGTGTTACACTAATACCAAGTCAGCAAACCATGTTTAGCAATGCAAGGATGAGGCAAGAATTGTCATTTTGATGTTTCTAAGATAATCGTTTCTCCAAAATTTCAAGGCATTGCTAAAAAAGTGCTTTAATGGCTACCAAAAAAAATGTGATGTGGTGTTGAATTGGGACCATTTTTTGAAGAAATGGAATGGATACCCCAAAAAATGCTTTAATGGCTAAAAAACTTGGTGTGATTGTTCCTAACCCAGTCTAGCCCATAAGTTTATGTGATTGGCCCAAGGTTCAAAATATCGATACAACCTGATATGATGATAAGGTCATATCGAGTTGTATCGGCCCTTGCTATTCTTTTATTTTCTTTGTGAATTTAGTTCAGAGGGGTCGATCTAAGGCCCTTTCTACCCTTGAACTGGGTTAAACCCTGAAACACCCCTTTGTAGGGGGTGTGTCGAGAGGCTCCCGATACGATACGTATTGGCTGATATAGTCCAATATGTATCAAAATTCCAAACCTTGGATTGACCTAGATCCAATACATTTAAGTTTCTCTCAAGCCATTGGGCCTAAGAAATATGGGCATAGAATAATTGACCTTCCTCCCTTTTAAGGAATGCAATGCAAGCATCATTTGTAATAATGGTGGAACTAAGAATGGAATTTTGAATGATAATATAATTCTTGCATTACATGACACTTATATATAGGGAGGAAAGCCACTTTTTCCCAAGGTTCAAAGTATCGACACATATCGGCTCGTATCGACCGATACATATCATTCCGGGACCCACCGATACGCCCCTATAATGGGTGTGTCGGGGGTCTAGCCGATTCAGGGGGTGGAGGAGTCCTAAACCAGCCCCCTGAACCAGTTTCAGAGAAAAAAAAAGCATAAAAAAGGGTATCGATTCGCCCAATACGCCCCTATCGGTTTGGTTGCAACAAATGCCCCATAGTTTGGTTAATTGAACCGTGAGTACCCCTACCATTTAGACCTCTAGTTACTACTTAGGGTGCCCATGGTTTGGTTAGTACATACTTAAGATTGAACCGATACTTTCAGTTTTTGAAAAGTACAAAATTAAATACTATATATTATAAATATTATATATACATATATCGATTGATTTAACTAACTAGATTTTTTTATTTTGATTACTCGATTTGGTTCAATGTTTCTGTTTTTCCTAAGCACCTCTACTAGTACTTCTTGCATAGGATTTAACAAGGAAAAAACTCTAGCACTTAAAAGAAAAAAAAAAAGAAAAAGGAAAAAAATCCAAGCAAGAGATTTCAATGAAACAGGTGCAAGTTGGTCCCTGCACCCACCCTTGTACCCTTGTAGCCTTAAGGGGCCTTCTAAAAAATCTAGGGCCACAAATGGATTGGATTGGATTTGGTAAAGGGTATCTTTGATCTGATTCAATAAGAAATTTGACCAATATGAATCCAATAAGAATCCATTAGATTTCCAAGATTGTGATTCAAATTTGAATTTGAATATCTTATCAGATATCTAATTTGAATTTGATTCAATTTGAATTGTAATAAAAAAAATTGATGATATAAAATAATATAATATTATATTTATTTATATAATAATAATAATATATTATAATTATAATATATATACGTATATATAGAATATCCACATATGATATATAATATTTCATAAATAGAAGATCTGATCAGGTGGTGACAGGTTTGATTGGGAATTATACTAATTCGATCCATTTAGTTAATATTTTTCTGATTTGATTTGTTTTATTAGGATCAATGAGTGTATCCAAATCCGACTCTTACTGGATCAAATTAGAATTTGAATCAAATATGATCTGACTTATTTGTAACCTTAAAAAACCCCATGTATACTATACTTATGCCATTATGCGAGTTCGAATCTTGTGCAAATACAAATATGCATACTGAGTTACTGACTATGTGACCAATCATGAGTAAACACATCAATATGGAGCCCACATCCAGTGGAATTCGCGTCTACCTCTCACAGAACGTGCCCGCAAAATCGTTCCACAACACATCCCAACTGTGTATCGACTTTAGTCAGGGCAAAGCCCGTTTGAGCATCCTTTGCTGCCTTGCATTGAGAATATCTCTATACTTATGTGCAGGGGTGGCCATGAGCTGAGCTTCTCACGAGCTTGAGCCTGATACATAGGCTCGTTTGCTAATCGAGCCGAGCTCGAGCCCAGTGAAGCTCGGATCGCGAGCCTAGTATAATAAATAAATATTTTTTTTATTATGTACACACACACACACACATACATACATACATACATACATACATACATACATACATACATACATACATACATACATACATACATACATACATACANATACATACATACATACATACATACATACATACATACATACATACATACATACATACATACATACATACATACATACATACATACATGCATGCATGCATTTATGCATACATACATATACATATAAATATATATAAAATAAGGGTAAAATACAAAAACCTCCCCTGAAGTTTCTGACAATCATAGAAACCTCCCCTTTAGTTTCACTTTAACAAAGTCCTCCCCTAAATTTTCCAAATACCCATTTTACCCTAGCCAAGTTGGCAGCAACACATCCAAAACCGCTACTGTCCATCTCTCAATGTTAAATCTAACAACGCTGTTGTCGTCAGCCACGGTTTGATCAAACAGTTCACCATTCTGAGACGTGGACTCTGGTATCGATGGTGACACATGCTTCGGTGCCTTGGGAGACTTAGCAACCATAGGCGTCGGTGTTGGAGCTAGCGTTGGCACTAGCATTGGCGAAGCCTTGAATAACTCCTTGAGTAACAACACTTTGTCAATCGTGTAAATCGCTAAAGGATGCTGGTTTAGCAATGTCCTCATTATCTTTCTGCCATGATCTTCTCCAATTTTACCAATTCATGCGTCGTTCTGAATTGTGGAATCATACTTATTGGCACCACCTATTACTATCGTGTTCACAACTCTATTCTTCGACCTCAACATTTCCATGGAATGGTAAACAGGAATTCTGTGATACAACAACAACAAATTCTTCCCATCTCCTGTTAGGTTCTTGTATTTGAGCATGAAGTCCTTAAACACCTGGTTAGTGGGGTAGAACACCGTTAACCCTCCTTCAATGTTGTTGTCAAATGTCTGCTCAGCTTCGGAAGCCACTAGCGTATTCGTGAAAACCTTACAACCTCGCTTTGACATTAGAGATGTGAGGTTTAGCTGGTTGGGGACTGGAGTGGGAGCTTCGTCTTCAGTGGCTGCCATGACCTTGCCGTGGTTGGATTTGGCTCCAAAGCAACCTTATTGCCTTTGAGATTGGTGATGTTGACAAAGCTAGAAGCGTTGGGGGCGGAGCCAGTGGCCAATGGCCAATGGCTTGGAACATGGTGGTAGTCAAGACCATTCCATTTGTCATTTGATGCTACTTCTGTTTACTAAAATAATCAAGGAGAACATGAAAGGATAGGACACTTTTGATAATTTGATGGTGTAAATGGAGAGGTGTTTGGATAAGAGGTGTGACATGCCACCATTGTAGACTACGCAGACCGCAATGGTCTTGCGTTGGTTGATCTCTACGACGAGTTGAGTGGCAGCTAAGTATTGATTGAAGATGGAGAATCCAGGGTACTTTGCTAGGATGCGTGTGATATTGTGTGCATCGGTGACCCCGACTAAGAGTAGGAGGAGAGAGGGTTGTTGTTCTGGTGGCCATCAGGAAGAACTGCATTATTTGAGTAGAACGAAAATACGGTAGCAGTTTCGGGTGTGTTGTCGATTTTGTTAAGGTAAAATGGGTATTTGGAAAAAATTGATGCATTGGTTTAACATTTTTCATTGGATTAGTGACAGAAGGGAAATTTTTGTTGAATTTTTTTTTAAAATTCAGGAGAGGATTTTATTAAAGTGAAACTAAAGGGGAGATTTTTATGATTGTCAGAAACTTTAGGGGAGGTTTTTGTATTTTACCCATAAAATAAATAATTTTTATTATATATAATATTTTTTATATAATGTTTTTATTTTTTATGTATAATAGTAAATAGTTTTTATAAGTCTTTTTTTTGTATGTAAAATAAAAGCACTTTTTTATATGTATATTTTTATTTTTATATGTATAATAATGAATAATTTTTATAGTTCTTATTTTATTGTACGTAAAATAAAAAATAATTTTATATGTATAATTTTTATTTTTTAGAAAAACTTAACTTGTAGTCAAGCTCAAGCTGAGTGGAGTTCGAACTTGCAAGCTTTGAATCGAGCCTAGCTTGAATAACCAAATATTCAACTCGATTCATTTCGAATCCACCACAATTATGTACTTTATTTTATAGAGAGATATTCCCAATGCAAGGTTGGAAAGGCTCTTAAAACGGTGTAGGTTTGCCAATGATGGAAGCCGATCTCTTCGGTGGGGGGCAGATGTGAACTCCATCCGGTGAGACAGTTATACAATCACTTATATGTGCCGTAGAAGAGACAGGATGGGCTCCCCACTAAGCGCGCCCAACAGACGCTCGATTGCCCATCTCTCCCGTGTGAATTGGGATCATCTCCCACGATTGCACGGAAGATGCTCCCAATGCACGAGAGTGATGGGCTGTGGGGCGCGCTCTATCGAGACCCCATCCGAACTCGCCGTAGACTCGTAGAGCATTTAAAATGAGTCCATTTAGTTTCAATTAAATGCCCAACTTGTCCTTTATAACTAGCTTAGCTACTAAGGCGACAGGTGTTCAATATTTAGAGGGCGTTTTCGTAATTAAAATGCACCTTCTCTCTCCTTTCCTTTTTAACGACCCCCAAAAAACGCCTCTGCCTCATTTTTTTTTTCTTTGCTCTGCTCCAAGCCTCCAAGAAAACTGCGTATTTGTCGTCAGTAAACTGAAATCCACACGTTTCTCCTTCCTTGTTCTCGTTAATGGCGATCGGCAATAGTGCGCCACTCTCTCTATCTTGTTCACCCCTCATAAGGAATCAAGTCCGCTCTTCGTCGTTTTGTCAACAATTGCACGGAACCCCACTCCGAAACTATGGTACCTTTCCCTCGCAATCTAGAAAAGTGACGGGGGATCGAGTCTCTTTGGGTCGATACAGGTTTTCATCTTTGAAGAAGAATCCAACTCGGTCCTTTAAGGTGTTCTGCCTTCGCAATTACGGAAGTAACTTTCCATGAACAGATATCTTTTTATTTCATTTACCTTTTTTCCCTTTTCTGTTCAACTTTATTTTCTCTTGTGCAATTGAATGCTAGATGGGAATGAACTCACAAGGGATTTGAGCTTCCTTTTCTTACAGCATTTTGAGCTGTTTGCTGTTAAATTTGGGTTTCGTTATTTTCTTTAATGTTTTGAGATTAGTGTTGTTTACATGCTTATTCATAGATATGATCTCTTAGATTCCATGGGCTGGAATGTGCATCTTCTGAGATTCTTTGTTTTCTTTCTTCCCTTTTTCTCCTCTTATAGTTATAGTTGCACCATGTATTAAAATAAGGGTATAAATAAATTGTTAGGTGAAAGGGGCGAAGTTGAAACCAGAGTTAATATTGTTGCTTTCTGCTACTTTAAAATTTGATAGACGAAAGAAATGGAGGTATATGATTGATGCTTATTCAAAGTTGATTTTTTTTTTTTTTTTTTTTTTACCAATGGAAAAAAAAAAGAAGTTAGTTATTTTCCCTGCTTTTCAAACTAACATGACTAAGTAGAGGTTTTAGATTTACTTGTTATGTCATTGGATGGCCCATTGAGACTCTGTGATGTATATTTGCAGCAGCGGTGGTTACTCAAAACTCCTGGGATGAATTAGTTCTGAAAAGTGATATTCCTGTCCTTGTGGAATTCTTTGCCAGTTGGTGTGGTCCCTGCAGGATGGTGCAACGGGTAGTTGATGAGATTGCAGAAGAGTATGCTGGAAGAATCAAATGCTATATACTTGATACAGATCGTGACATGCCAGTTGCTGACGAGCATGGCATCAACGCGGTTCCTGTGGTTTTGCTGTTCAAGAATGGAGAAAAACAATACTCTTTTGTTGGTACCCTGTACAAGGAGACTTACGTGGAAGCCATCGAGAAGCTTCTGTCCTAAGGTTGCCATGGTGCATTCTGGCCTGTAAGGTTTTCTTGATTTTTCAGTTGGGTGATTGTTTAACAGTTAGTACATTTTATACGCTTATACTTACTAGAGGTGTCATCCTGTAAGGATGTCAATCTAATATACTTATTTTTTGGGCGGGATTGACTGGCCTTCTCATTTTATACCCATATTCATCCCTTGGAGACTACTTACTACACTGTACACTGTCAACTTTGTCTCCTTGTAATCTGAATTGAATTTTATTTCTATGTAGACCATCCTCTGTTAACAAGTACATAGTTGATCACTCTGACCAATGTTGTCTCTTTTTTTCTCATTGAAAGTTTGAAACTGAGGCTGAGAATTGATTCGATACTTCATTGTTGTCTATTTTCTTATTTGGTTGACAGACATGTAATTAAAGTTGAATGACATCCTCTTTGAGCTAATTCATGTTCTCATAGCAGTAATAGTTGCTCAGTCTTTGCCAACATGAAATTATTGGCAGAAAGGAAAGAGAGGTGCCTATTACCTTGTTGTCTCAACTAAATTGAACTCATTCACCTTCCATCACCAAATTGGTAAATCTTGCTGAAAGAAGATTGGTGTTCGATCTGTAATTCATCTACTGCTTTGCTTCCTCTGGGTACTAGTGGTTTAGTTTTGTGAATGAAATTTTGACAAAGTTACTCGCTTTTATTCTTGAAATCTCATGCAATATTGCAATAGTAACAGTTTAACTGGGCCAGTTATTATTTGTATTTTTCTTTTGGGGATCAAAATGAGCTGGGTTGTTCAGAATAACAAGGATCTATATATTGGCCTTATAATGCAGGCATGGAAGCAGGGAAAAGATCCATAGAAGGAGAAATCAAGATTCTTCGTATTGTTGAACCAATTGCAATTTTGTAATTTTTTCTGAGTCTTTTCTGATTTATTTTATGGTTTGCTAGTTTCTTAGGAATAATGTCAGTAATTAGTAAATTTAAAGTATCAATTTGTTCTGTTTTCATGTTTTTGGTGTCACTGGATAGGTAGTTGAGTTACCTATCCGATAAAACTAAGCTCTTGTAAATCTGACGTATTTTGAGGGAGTTATGGTCATTTTACTGATAGGGTGTCAATTTTAGAAGCTAGAATTCTTATTGTCTTTATGGGTTAGCTTAGTTTTAAAGTGGTTGGAATTTATTTTGGATAAGTTTCCTAGTGTTATCTTCTTCTCTCTCTCTAGTGTAATTTCTCTTCTCGTTCTTTATTTCAGACCTGAATCTCTTCCTCTCATAATTTAGATCCTTAATTTCCCTTTTTTCCCACCATATTCTGCAAAGTAGGACTTTTCTCCCTTCTTGCTTAAATCACAACTTCAGATTACAAGTCCACAATGGCTCTTTAGGCCACCATTTATTGGAATTGCCCCAAGTGATTTTAATTGCTGAACATCGACCATTTTTTATGTCCCAGAAATAAGATTCAATGGCTTTTGCAGCTGAACATTAGAGGTTGCACCATGGGGTGGGACATCACACAAACAGGCTTTTGTAGCTCCCAAATATTGCAGACTGCTCTTCCAACAAGCATTGGCAATCTTGTCTAAAGTTCACATTACCCAATTCCATTTCGGTTTTGTTGCTCACCCAAACAGTCCTGGTGGGAACCTACCATCCAGACCTTGTCATGATCATAATGGACTACAGATTTTAATAATATATACTCAAGGGTGTTACGTGTATACAACTATTCAGTTATGTTCTTCCAAATGGCACCTTGAATCTTAATAGAATTCTGCCATAAGCAAAAATGGTTTAAGACCATATCTGTTGCCATGTACCTTCACAATTGCATCTCTAGGTTTATGACTGGGTAGCAGGACTTGTTAAGATCTTTAATGGTCCCTGTCAACATCGTTCAGCAGTCAATAAGAAAGTTTCTCATGAGACCAAGGTAGAAGAACCTACTTGTCCATTTAGAGCTGTCATGTAGACAACCTACAAGTAAACATTAGCTTAACCTCCAGGAACGGTTATAGAGCCTATTAACATAGAATAGGATTTTGAGTTCTTCAGCTTGCTAATATGATGACCTTGTAGTCACATCTGAGTTCGACCTGATTGATGCCACTGGTTGCAGGGTCAACTGTGCCCAACCAAATGGCAAGCGATTCACCTAGGTCAACCGAGATACTTCCTCTCTGGTGTTTCAGTAAGTATTCCAGTCCCTTCCTCCCGGAAGTTTTAAGACTCGCCATTAATTTCATAACTTCTTGGTGGTGGCTCTATTGGATCAGGCTTTAGTTTCGTGATCTCCCATTCCATGGTGGTCAAAGATTCTGAGTTGAACTGTCAGAAGAGTTCACAAATATAACCTTATTTAACCTTCAAAATAACATCACTTAAGCTTAGTTTGGAAGGAGTACAAATATAAATATGTACAGTACAAATTTATACAAAAGAATACAGAATATAGGATTTTTGCTCTACATATTTGTATTTGTACTCCTTCCAAATGGAGCCTTACGAGTTGGGACGAGTTACAGATGTTTAAGAACTTGTATGGCCATTCTATTCTCTAGTCTCCTTTCACATAGGTCTTGCTTTTCGAGCCCACGCCAAGTATTGTTCTGTTGTGCCTTCTGAGCCCAGCCTCTCTCTCTCTCTCTCTCCAATCTATATGATTGGCTGGACATAGCATTTATAATATCAGATTTTCAAGGGATGCAATTCCAACTATGCCACTGGGTATCAGATTTTTTATTGTATTGTAGTGAGGAGTATCGGTTTTTATTGGCCTATTGGCGTATAATCATCAAATTAAAAAAATAAAGAGAGAACACATCAATTAAATCTCTAAAAATTATAATTTTTGAAGTATTAACGAGATTTATATTGGTTTTCTATGAGAGATAATATTTTTCAACGTTTCTCAAATTTCCAAAGTCTTCAATTTTTTCTAAGGCTGTGTTTGGAAACGATGCAAATAGAATGTAAATCCCAGTTCAGGGTAAATTTGTACTCTGGTTCATTTTTGCCTGTGTTTGGTAACATTATATTTATGCATTGACAAATAACTAAAAGTCTGTCTGTGCAAAACTAACCCAATTTTGTAATTTATATGAACTGTTTTACATTACATATTTAGAGTCACACTTATTTGCATCGTTTCCAAATATAGCCTAAGACTCAGTTTGGAAGGAATGCAAATACAAATATATAGAGTACAAAATCTTGTATTTTGTATGTATTTACAGTGTACATTTTTGTATCTGTACTCTTTACAAACTGAGCCTAATTGTCCATACATACTTCATTTAACCATTAAAATATGTAGCTTTTATACACTAAGGAATTTCATATAAATCCCATAGATACGCCTTAGGTTTAGTGTCATCGATATATCTGTGGGATTTACATTCCTATCCTAACCATCCACAATATTCATGTATTTCTCGAGCATAACCCAAAATATATTTTAAAATAATCTTTACTATACTCCTGGGATATTGATACTTTATTCACAAAACTAATTTGCTCGATATTTTCTTGTCCATCCTATGTCAAAGAGTGGGAGGGTGTCTGCAAACTTTTTTGTCTAAAAGGAGCTCTATCATTACTTGGCCTAAGTGGAGTTTTGAGTTTGGGAGGGCTTTAACTTTTATAAGCTGCGTCTGACTGGGCCACTTTGAAGAAGCTTCATCATAAAATTTGATTTCTTAACTGATTTAAATGAGGTGAGGTGGGCTTGGCCTTGCTTCACTGATCTCTTCTTGGGCTCATGGGCTAATACTTTATATCAAACTTGGCCCAGGTTTACTTATTTAGTTAAGAGCACTTAAGCCCAATTTAGAGTCCCCATTCAGCTATTCTGAGAGAGAAGTCTGAGTCAGTCCGGATCTGCTTCTGCTACCAACAAGACGCTACCCGGTGATAGTCAGCAGTTACTTCTCGTTACGGTGGTCGACCAAAAGGAATTGCCTCCTCGGATTACTTTCTAGTGTGAAAACAAATAAACCCATGGGCCACACTGACACTGCTGAAGCATCATAGCTTCAATGGCAATGGCAAGCTTCCTTCATTTGAGGCGAGGGTGGTGGGGTCTGTGAAGTGTGAAGAGTGAAGTCCACTCCGGAGCCAGCCAGATCCACTGGCCCACTGCCAATCTGGACCGAGTTCTACGCCAAGACAAAAAAAGGTGTTGTCCCACTTCACTTGTCCTCGTCTCCACGGGTGCGAAGGATAATTTACATGTACCCCTAGGCGCAGAATAGAGATAAATGGGTTTCTGAAGGGTAAAAATCTCTGATAAAGTACACCAGATGGTTCTTCAGTCTCTTACAAACCGTTTGATCTGAATATGAAAAACTACCTCGTACAATCTAAAGATTGAACCAAGGGCCATGATTAAGACTTCATTTTGTCTCTATGTGAAGTGAAATGTTACGACGCGATACTCGAAGCCTCTCGTTGCTGTTGCCCCTGAGTCCCTGACCCTGACACAGCTGTTGCCTAACATGTGCGCATGTGAGTCTCTGTCCCCTCCTTAGTCCTTTCTTCTGTATTACGCGTGTCTCTTTATCTCTGCAAAACGGGGAAAGAAAGTTGAGGGAAGCCAGTGAACACCCCAAAAAACCCACAATCCCATCTTCTGCTTTCGATCTGAAAGCTGGGGAGGGGAGGACATCCATGGCTTCCTCAACTTTACCAAAGTTTGTGATACTGCTAAGTTTATATCTGGTGTACACCACTTGTGGCCAAGGTGTTGGAGCTCAGACTGAGGAGACGAGTTTACAGCTAACGACAGAGGCCCTCGAATGGCCGTCGGCAATGCCGTTCTACGATGAGTTTGGCGAGGAGGCAGACGTAGACGGTGGGATTGGTCGGAGGTCTCTGTTCTGGAGGACGACTCACTACTACATTTCGTACGGTGCTCTCTCTGCCAACAGGATCCCATGCCCACCTCGCTCCGGAAGGTCGTACTACACACACAACTGCTACAAGGCCAGAGGCCCTGTTCATCCTTACACCAGAGGGTGTTCAAGGATCACCCGTTGCAGGAGATAGATTGGCGGTCTCTTTGGTTTCCTCCTCCTCCTCCTCCTCATATATAGGCCTGCAGCAGCTGGGTTTGTCTTCTTTTACTTGTGTATTTTTGATTTAGTGTTAGCTTGTGTTTATCCTCTCGGTCTGGTCTTAAAAATCTTGGAGATCTTATGAAGTTTTTGAGCGAGTATGATGGAGAGTGGAGACTGTTTTTCCTTTTTCTTTGTGTTCAATGTTCAATGCCTTCCAAGTTCCATCTCTTTACGTATGCCAGCAGTGTATTTATAGAAATATATATTGAGGATCCTCCTCTTTCATTCATACTGCATAATGGGTGAAATTTAAAAAGATGCATTTGGTCGAGCTCTCTGCCGAAACTGATCTAACCTTGGAAAAAAAAAATCTAATTTTCTTTTATTTCTTAAATGAAACACGAGGTTTTCTTTTGCTCTTGAGATTGAGCTAGTGCTGTTGTTTATTTGGGGTTTTTGAAGGAAAATGTGAGTTGACATTTGGGTCTGATAATAGGGGGAAATAATTCTGAAGTTTAAACTCTGGGATTTCAAAGGAAAGTTTAAAGGAAAACCAGATTGGGAATTGGAGATTTGGGTTCTGAGGAGAATGAAGGAGGGATTGGTGAAAAGTAAGGCATTGTGGTTTAATGAGTGAGATATAGATGGAAAGTTTATGAAAGAACCTTTGTCAAATTGCATTCAGATTTTCCACGATTCCATCTGGGCATGTGTCGGTCAGGTTCCCATGTTGGGTTAGACCGTCTGGGTTTGGTTCTTTGGTTTGAATTTTTGATTCGCGTTCTTTATTTCATGTCTTTTTGTCCAGGCTTAGCACCAGGAGTTATATTTTACTTTATGTGCTCGGACTAGCATTGATGGAGAAGCTGAATCCTGGGTCCTGGCTGTGTTTACTGTTTAGTCATTGGGGTGCCAGAATGGGATGGTCCTCTTATGTGGGAATTGGGATGTGAATGAGAAGCACATAGGCAGTTTGGAAGCAGTACAAATGCAAATATATACAGGGTAAATACATACAAAATAATACAAAATATAAGGTTTTGCACTCAAAACCTTGCAAAGAAGCAAGTCAATCACCCGGGCTTGAAACTCCCACATTTAAAGTAAGTCAATAGTGTGAATGAGTTGTTTAAGGTGATTTAATGCTATGTTTGAAGGAAAAGGAAGGGAAAGACAGGAAACCTATACAAGGTTTGTAACATGGTTTTTAAAACCGACCTGGAGATTAAACTGGTCAGGGTCCGGTTATCGGATCAAATGATCGGCTCATTTTAACAAAAAATAAAAAAAATTTAAAAAATAAAATAACTATCAAAACCGTTTGAATGGTTTGGACGGTTCAAATGGTTAACTGCCTGGTTCAATGTTTTGTTGACCAAAATTAACGGTTTTTTGAGAAAATTTGGTTTTGGGGGAAAACGAAACCAGTCACCTGACTAGTTCCCAGTTTTTCTAGTTTGACCGTCCGGTTTGGTCCAGTTTTGAAAACCATGGTTTGTAAAGGTTTCCTTACTTTTCCCTTCCTTTCCCTATCTTTTCCTTCAAACCAGACATAGCCTAAGGTTAAATGTTACTTTAACTTTTAGGTTCGAAATTCACCTCTACATAAGCAGTAGTGTTTGTGTTTGTATGGCGATCTCCAACCCACAAGAACTCTATCCATGTCTACCCACAAAGCACTATCTCCATGCATTGGTAACATCTTTCCATGCATAATTTATCTATATGTATAGTAAAATGGTCTACGCCACCATACCTCTCCTTTGCTCCATTACCATTTACCCCCATCCTACATTCTCCTTGACTTTCCTCTTCCCTTCCCACCACTCCTATTAAGCCAACTCAGCACCCTCCGTCTCCATTTCCTAATTATCTCAATATATTTTACCTAAAACCTCTCTCTCTCTCTCCCTCTCTTTCTCTACAACTCATGTTTCTCACTCTCTCTACCCTCCTTAATTAACTCAACTCATCTCTATCCATTCTTATCCTATTGAGATGCCTCTTTAATAAAAACATTCCTAAGATCTCTCTTTATCCCCTCTCTCCTAAAACTCTCTACACTCCTAATTTATTGTTCTTAAAACTTTCGTAAGGTCCTAATTCATAAAACCTTTCATAACCAACTTTTTTATACTCTTAACTAATCCCCACTTCCCCACTTCCCCACTTCTAACTAAGACCTCTCTCTCTCTCTCTCTCTCTCTCTCTCGCTCTCGCTCTCGCTTTCTTGCCACGGTTCGGTTAACCGAACCATGGGCATATTTTGCAAACCAAATCGGTGGTACCGTTTTTTTTTCATTTCTCCAAATCGTAACCGAATCGGTACCATTGGTTAACCGGCCCGTTAGTTTCAGTTTTTGACTGGTTTGGTTCTTTGGTTTTTTATATTTATAACATATTATATAAATATATATAATATTATATTATAAATAATAAATGATATATAATATATTTATAAATAGATTCTTATAAATATAATATGAGTAGATATTTATATACATAATGAATATATATTTATATATGAAAAATATATAAATATATATATATATATATATATATATATATCGGTCGGTTTGGTTAATCATCGGTATCTTTGTAGGTTAACCGAAAATCGAATCGGTCCTTTGGTTTTTTAAAAATTTCAAACTGAATTTGGTTAACCACATTTTGCGGTTCGTTTTTTTTTGGTTTGGTAGACCCATCTCTCTCTCTCTCCCCCTGATCCATTGATGTGGTTTATTGGATCCGGTATGGTTTGGTTTTCATTAATCCAACCCAATTATGACTCATTTACTTTGAATGGTACATTACCTATTGTTTATAATTAATTATTTTATTTTATTATAATTCATATTAAAATAAATTAATTATTTTTGTGATTAATTAAAAATTCCCAAACAATATTACTTTTTTTAATAATTAATAATTTTCATTTTAGTAATATTTTTGGGATTAATTACTAATATTATTGACGATTTACTAATAGTTTGTCAAAATTAATTAATTCTTTTCAGGATTAATTGAAAAATACCAAAATTCACTTAAAATCTATTATTTGCATCCATGATTTATTAAAAATTGCCAAAATTTGTTACCAAAATATATCACTGTTTTTAGTAATTAATTATTACTGATATATTAATAAGGGAAAATTTTTTAAACTACCCTTATCATTTAGTTAATTGATTAATTCTGTCCGTACTGTTTACATATTGTCTAAAGTTTCCTTACTGTTTTTTTGGCAAACATCCCTTACCGTTAGCTTATCGGCTTTAATAGAGTAGAGTTCTGTTGGGTTTGTGATAAATAGTAAACAGGGCTTGAGACTTGAGACGTTGAATCCACCTCCACCAAACCGGATTGAAGAAATTTAAGAGATTGATGAGAGAGAGATGTGGGTTTCTCTTGCTTTCGGCATTTCTTTGATGAATTTCAGATAGGCTTATTGGATTAGAGCGGTGGGTTTCTCTTGCTTTCGGTTTTCTTCAGATGGACTTATTGGATTAGAGTGGTGGGTTTCTCTTGCTTTTGGTTTTTGTTTGATGAACTAATCGGAGATAGCTTCCATCCTCAAAAACAGTTCATATGACAAGTTTTACATCTTAATTCTTCTAAAAAATGTATATTCAATTTGCTTCTTGTTACTTGACTGGATTGTAGACAAATATGTGAAAAACGCTTGGGCCGTCCTCGCGATTCAGGAGCAATCGGAGATAGCTTCCGCCCTCAATCTCCTAAATGTCGCCTTTGACTGGGATAGTTAAGATTTTGTCTTTCAGAGCGCAAGGTAGGTCGGGTTAAAGGGTTTAGAAGCTTAGGCACGAGATATGGAGGTTAGATCTGAGAGTCCTCATTTTAGGACTGATAAGATTCCGCCTCTGCCCCTAGGAAACTCTAGTTGCCCTTAGGGAACTCTGGAATCCACGGGATATAGGTTCTGGGGCGATGATGACCGTTGTTGCTTGATTACTCCAGTCCAACAAGGGCAATTTACCGTTCCACCGTTCCATAGAGGAAGATGATCGGGGAGAAGAACGGGTTTTCAATAGGGCGAAATAGAGCAGTACAACAGACACAACGTTAGAGAAAAGCTACCGCCTACTAGTGTGTGAAACAACCCATCTCATCGGAGATGGAGATGGAGACGGATGAAGTGGACTTAGACAATTTGTTAGAAATGGCACTTTTGAAGGACAATCACAAATATCCACAGAAGTCCGTAAAGAAAAAATATTCCGTTATACTGCTGGTCCGAAGTTGCAGCAGTAACCGTTGAAGGTTCATGGACCATAGTGGATGTCATTTTGAAACAGGATTAACAGAAGGGTGAAACTGACATTTCATCATATCTGTTAGAATTTAGCAATGACAACAATTGTCAAAACACTTGGGGGTACTTTAAGACAATATGTAAAAATAAGGGTAAAGGTAGTCAATTAGCTAAACCATAAGGGTAGTTTAAGAAATTTTCCCTATTAATCATTCATGATTAATTAAGTAGTGATATATTACCAACAAATTAATTAATTATTTTATTAATATTAAAATTTAAAAATTAATATTTGTTTCATGAATAATTAAATTGATTATTAAATTAACTATTATTACTGTTAATAATAGTAATATTTTTATAAATTAAGAATTATAAAATTAATAATTCATAATTAAGAATTATTAACTATAATTATAAATTTATGGGAAAATTCTTGATCAGTACCCTGAACTTTAGGGGTTGTGTCAAGTCAGTCCCCGAACTTCAAAACGTGTCTATGTAGTACCTTGAACTTTCAGAATGTGTCTAATAGTCCCTGTCACATGATGGCATGTGCCACTTAAAATTTTTAAAATATTAAAACTACACTTGAAAGAAGACACTGTTCATTGTCTTCTACCTTGAGACCAAAGAGTTGTGCCATTGCTATGACAATGCCTAGAACTGACGACGATGCCAAGAGTAGATTTGAATGAACCAACGATGGTGCTGAA